CTATTTTATATTGGATAATATTGATTCTTAACAATGGCTTTCTGGTCACCAGGAGTCAACATAAAAATTCCAATTTTCAGTAATTTAGTGGAAGGTGTTTGGTTTTTTGGGTTTTTTTTTTTTCAATTTTAAAGGCTTCTTAATCTCTACACTTGTATATTAAAAGTGAAAGGGATCAACAGCTAACTTGGGGCAAGTAATAAAATACATTTTGCATTTTTCATTAAGACAATTTATGGTAGACATGAATACACAAGTTACAAAATGAAGTCTCCATTTAACCTGTTTATATAAGACACAGGGCCACACTAAACTACTCAGTGGAATTTATCTATTCAGTTCACTTGGAACAATAAACAGTAACATATCCAAGAAGAATATGTGTCCTACCGTCTCATGTAGAAAAATAAATTATATGGTTGAAATGTAAAAGAAAGTAAGCATCAAAGTGAACTGATGTATATATCAATCTGTCTTTTTTTTAAAAAAATTAGACCTAAATTCCTCACTGTTGAAACATACACATTAACGAAGATTCAGATAGATCACCCACAGTTGACAATATTAATATGGTTCCTTGGCTGTTCAAGTAAATGAAATGATTTCTTTATTCTGGTAGCCTGAGTAAAGAGTAAAAAAGAGGATTTCTCAAACATATCCAGAAGTTTGTAAACAACACATTTATATCTTTTATTTTAGGAGGTGGTCTTAAAATATATAAATTTGTTTTCCTACCTGTCCTTGATTGATATGACCAAATTTAAAGGAAAAGCTAAATGAAAACCTACAAATAAATATACTTATGACATAAAATTATTGCACTTTACTAAGAAAGGGGTATAATGCTATTTAACAGAGTATTTTATGTATGACTTTTGCCACCATCCTATAATTTTTTGCTTGATTTCTTTGCTGTGTTTACTAGAGTTTATTTTCTAATTAAAATAATCTTGCTAGATAACAGATACTAGCCAGTATTTATCAAAACACATGACTTGTGTTGACTCACAAAAGTGAATTTCTTAAGATAGGGTGTCTTACTAAAAAAGAAAAGGAAAAAAACCCCTATATATATTTTTTTTACTTTAAAGCTACAGGACAGGGGAGTATTGATTGGAATGTTCCTTATTTAGTTTTGGGGATCAGGCTTGTTAAATACAATACCATGGTTTTAGAAGTCTGTAGTAGGAACATTTTTCAAATACATTTTTTATATTTCAGATGTAATGCAGTGCACTTTTATTTGAACAATAAAAAAACATAATCTTTTGAGACCATGCAGGTCTTTTCCCCCCCGCTTTTTGAAAGTATGTGGTATGTATAATTGCAGACTATGTAACGTATTTCTTTTCTCTTATTCTTTTAAGAGGCAGCTTAACTCTTGGACGTAACAGTTAGGTTAGTTCACACCTTAAATCCCAAAATAGTTAATATCCCAATTATTGTGTAATCTGTTTATACCAACCATTCCATTTTAGAGAAAATTTTGTTTACTTGTGCCAAGAGAATCCCCATTTCATGCCTTTTCAACATATATTTCAACATATACCAATATATTCAAAAAAAGTAATTTTAGTATTCATGTGAAAGATATTTTCCCCTTCTGTTCCCTGTTACTGTAAAGTTAAATCATTTTATTAGTAATTGAAAATTATTTTTTTGGGGTAATTACTATACTTACCTTACAGTCATTTTTCTTCTCAGGAAAAAGAAGGAGGTAAATAGTTCACTAACTGTTCCTGTCTTGTTTTTCATGAAAATATTATTCCATTTTTCTTTTGATTCAAATGACCTAATACACATTTCATAAAAACTGTTTTGCACAATAGTTTGCACAGTAGTGAATACGTTATTCACTTTAGTTTTAAAACAATACAAAGTGTTAGATTAAACTGGAAATCTCGCATTAGAGAACAGAACGTTTAAAGAATGACAAAACTTTCAAATAACAAATTTTTAAATCAGGATTATTTCAAAATGATTAAAATATCAAAGGAAAACCATTACACTGTTTTTCATTACTAATATGGAGATTCAGTATTCCAGTACTCAATGTATTTTTACTTTAGGTAAATGTATTCAGATGTCTTTTAATGTTAATGTTTGGGACACTTACATTTTACTTTGTAAATTCTGGATGCTCCTGAATCTCTTTGGAAATATATATATCCTATTGATAAATGCTTAAACAAGTCACAACACTCAATTAACTGGTGTTATTGTGAATTAACTAGTGTTATTGTAAATCAACTGGTGTTAATTCCAGGTGACTGGAATTTAGGATGAGAGCATCTTTAGTGCTTTAATACTTAATCTACTGTGTTACACACCTTGATTGCAAAAATACCATCACTTACCATTTTGGGTAAGTGAATATAGAGAAAAATGTGCCACTGTAGCTTAGAAATTCTTAGAAATTCTTAGAAATAAGAATTTCTTTATGTGACACTTGGAATGTAGGACTAATAGATGTGTTACAAGGAGTCTCATATTAGACTTCTACCTTTAAATGAATTCATACTTTTGAAAAGTAAAAGCCAATTTTGCATGCTCAATACTTACAAATCAATGATAATACGAGAGGATCTTTCTTAATGAGAGAAAAAAGCTAATTCTACATTAGGTATCTTTGGTTTTAAAAAGTAATGTATTAAATAGGAAAAAGAAGAAATTAAATCTGATTCCCAGGGAACACTAACAATTCCTTGTGAAAATATCCTTTAAAGTCAAACATTTCAGAAGGCATATATGGGAAATGAGAAATTTAAATGACTGTACATATATACAGTTTACGTATAATAGCCTACATTCATATTTTGACCTCCATTCCTATGTTCAGCACAGCGATGGATAAGAATTTCAGAAACTTTAGAAAGTAAATAAAATATATAGTCTTTATTTTTAAAGAGTTTAAATAAAATTAAGAAAAAAGTGTGTTGTAGTAAGAATAAAAGACAGGAATAGGCTAATAACGTTGAACTTTAAAAAAATGTTTAGTATGTCCATTTGCAAAGTACATGATTTCAGTTGGTTGGTTTGCCCAATATTTGCATTTTGTACTGTACTGTGCAACTCAAAAGATACAAGGTATCACAATGTTACCAGTACATACATATACATGAGTGCTAACACTTCTTTTGCATTGGGCTTTATAATTGACAAATACTTTTCCCAACATTCTCTACCAAGTAGACAGCCAGTTCTGATCATCCCCATTATCCAAATTTTAAAATGTATGTTTATGTATATGAAGTTAGCAAGTTAAATATTCATAAATTTTATTTACATCACAATATTCAAACTTAAAACAATGGAACATTTGTAAATGAGAATGTAATTTGTGACCCCAAAATGTAGCAGAAAGGGCGGACGTACACTGGTTGAAGAGGTCCCAGTCCCGACTCCTGATACAGCTTAACAGGAGGAAGTCTTAGGAGTTTGAGGGATAGCTTGACAAACTCTTGATTTAATTTATATGAACAGTGAATGCATAAATATGAATTTTTCACTTTAGGATCTTTATCCTTTAATCTCCTTTTCTCTTGGATATCAAAAGATCAGATTCCCTAAGCTTATGTGCCACTGTGGAAGGACCAACTCCTAATGTCATCAGTTCTCTGGGAGGAGAGGAATGCAGCAGCATAGAAGTTGCTTCTTTACTCAACAATCTTTAGGCCAAGATATTTCCCTCTAAAATTCCTTTCCACTTTAAGTCAGTAGTCAGTGGCAACAGGTTGCTTGTTTTAACTTGACAAACGGATAGGGAGATAGATTGATAGGTTTTTACCTTTAAAAAGGAAATTCTATGTATAACATATTGGGATGTGTGTTAACATTCAAAAATTCATGCATGGATTTATCAGCCAATTTGAAGGAAGATGACTTCCAGAATCCAGAGGAAAGGGTATATCTGGTACCCTTGGGTAGGTGCATAATGAAGCAAGAACAGTAGCTTCAGTATGACATTACCCCAACATTGGTTGGAGCCTTCGTTTTAATCAACGTTTTATTCCTCACAACACAATTTGGCCTCTAGGTGTAGGGGTGACCCTTCTTTAGGAAACTCCTTCATGTCATTCCCTTGTTTGCTTTTGCCAAGAGCAGAAAGCCCAAAATTAGTCCATGTACATTTAGCCTATTCCTTTTAACCAGAAGACACCTAATGTTGCTGTTCAGGCTCTTGAAAGCTTATATAGGATATATGTTAAGCCCCAGTAAAGAATTCACCGCGCTGCCAGTGATAATTCCCCTTAACTCAGGAGATGGTACTTTACCTTTAACATAAGGTGTTTTGCTGCTCTTTATGATGAAAGAAAACACTTAAGTTGGGTCTGAAAATGTCTATTATGACAGATGAGCCAATTAAATATACCACAGACTAAACTATGCCTAGTGCATAAAGGTTGTTGATTAAAACAATCCAGAAACACGCCTGTCTCCAAACTGGCATTTCAGCAACATGTTGACTCCTGGGTAGTATAATCTATCGCAATCTAGCGGAAGCAATTGGGGCGCACAAAAAGACGTGGGGGACTACCTCCTGATCACATAAGGTAAAACTTAAACCGTGACCCGATTAGTTTAAGTGAAAAAGAACGGAAAGGCACAACCCGAAGACCAACTTTACAAGGTGAGCTCTTCCCAGAAAACACCTCTCCCGGCTCAGGGCAGCAAGCCCCGCCCCGGGCAACAAGCCCCGCCCCCGACTCTGCAGTTCCGGTCGAGCCTCTGAGGAGCTCCACCGCAGCACCGCGGAAGTTTCGTGTGTGCGCAGTACGCTTGATTAGAGCCGCGTGGGAAAGGCGGGACTTCCCTCCTCTTGCGTCATCTCTAGTGCGACGCAATACGTCACTGGTGTGACTGGGAAAGTCAATTATGGCTGCCGGCGGGCTCCCGCCATCTTTACGCACGGGGTCGCCGGCGCATGCGCGTAGCGGCCTCGGTGAGCGGTACGCGCGCCTATCCCGTGTCGTCTGCGTGTTGGATACAGTCGTGTGCAGAGATGCTGTGCCGGCTGAGCGTTAGGTGGCTGCAGCCGCGGCCTGCCCTGCAGCTCCGGGGCTTGGGCCCACCGGTCGTACCGGCCCCCACCGGCGGCGCCAAGCCCTCCGCTCTGCCATTGTGGGCGGTGGCATCAGTCTCTGCAGTTGGCCCGAGCGGCGCGGGTGGCTGGTATGAAGCCCTGGCTACGTCGGCGCCGGTGCAGGGCGCCGAGGACGTACTGCTCTTTGCGCACACCGCCTCGGGCCTGCCCTGGTGGGGCAGCATTCTCCTCACCACCGTGGCCCTGCGCGGCGCTGTCACGCTGCCCCTGGCCGCCTACCAGCACTACATCCTGGCCAAGGTGAGGGGCGCCGAGCCGCGCATGGACCCGCTTCCGTGGTGAGGAGTGGTCGACGTCTACCCGGGGTTTAAGGTCCCCAGGTACCCCCGGAGTGCTTAGTGTTAGTCATCAGTACCAGTAAGGCAGTGAGCTACTTTACAAAAAGGAATTAACACAGGGCAGAAGTAAATGCAATTTTTGGTGGCTCTGTGACTGCCACAGAGCATATTAAAGATTCTTAATAGACTTCTGTTTCCTCAGTTGACATTACTGGGAAATCCAGGAATTGAAACATTAAAGTGCAGAGTGTAGTTCTTATATAATCCTTATAATAATCCTGTGAAGTAGGTGCTGATATACATTTTATATATGAGAGAACAGGACTTTAGAGGTTAAATAATTTGTCCAAGATCATACTGATGTATAAGCTGGAGTTTGAATTTGGTTGCAACTGAGGAAATCTTAAATTAACATCCTATACGCAGACTTAGGGTTTCTTGACATGACCAGTAAACCACATTTTTAAATGAGCTGAGGGAATAGAGAGTGAAATTACGAATGGTTATGAATAAAGATCTTTCATGTTCTCATAACAAAGCCTACTTTTTCTTTAGCTAGGTGGAAAATTTGCAGCCAGAAATAAAAAACATTGCAAGGCACCTTAACCAAGACGTTGCAGTTCGTGCAAATCAGTTGGGGTGGTCCAAAAGAGCTGCCAGGTAAGCTAATTCTGTGCATATAACACCATGAAAATATATATACATATATATAATGTATAAGTGATTTTTTATTATAGGTTTTGGTATTCTGTAGCTTTAGCAGCAAAGTAGTTCTTTTTTCTCTTTAATATTTTAATACGTTTATGTGGCATGGTAGTTTTATATACTGGCCCGAAAGCAAAAAAAATAGGGAAACAAGAAGAGAGAGTTCCTTGTCCTTAAGGGACTTCAGGCTACTGAAAAAGACAGACATGTAATCAAATAATGACTGAACTAAGTACTGTACAAAAGATTATGTACAAGGAGTTGGGTCATCATGGAAAGTCAGGAAAGGCTTCACAGAATGAAGATACTGTGACAGTTGTTGGGATTTTTGTCAACAAATGATACAGGTCATTTACAAACTTGACCTTTTGACAACATACAGCAGGTAGTAGCCCAAAGGCATTGGGAGGTAGAAAGTATGAATGACATGGTGAAAGCAACTGGATAGGCAAGGTGGTGTCATTCTGCTCTGGTTACCCTATGTAGTTGTCTGCCTGGGCTCTTAGAAAGCCCTTGCCCAGGGGTGCTCGACCATGGCACAGTTCTATGCCTACAGTCATCCACTAGGAACTTCTAAGTCCACCTCCTTCTATCAGCCTAAGCTAGTTCTGCTTAGTCAGTTTCCCAAATTCTGATCCTTACTAGACTGTGACAAAGTGTTCACCAGTTCACGCAATGAGAAAAATAAGGGGTTTTTAGTATGAATATGTAATATATATATATAGCTTTCCATATATTTTTATCTATATAGGTGTAAATTTGCCAACTATCTTCGGTATGAAATTGTGTCCCTCTTTATATAGAGTTAAAAAGACCTGATATTTAAAAAAAATCATTTTTACAGCTTAATGTCTTTACTTGCTAAAACAGGAAGTTGGTAAACCTATAGTTTTGAAGTTTTACTAATCAGGGAAATCTGAGGACTACAGCTCTAGGCCAGAAGAACAAATTAGTAGCTGCTCACCTGGGTTATAAATGCAGCCTAGACAAGACTGTGGCACCTTGCTTATGCAGCACTGGCAGGATGATTGTCTAGACACATTCTTAAACAGATGAGTGGCTTTCTAGGAAGACATATCTGAGGTTTCCTGCATTTTCAATGGAGCTGGGTTTTGAAGCGTGACAGGGAAGTTGTCAGGTGAACAGCCAGGAAACTGGGCAGTCCACACAGATGATATAACTTCCAAAGGCATGCTGATGTGGAAGTCTAATTTGTTGGATGACCCCAGTCATTCAAGGGACCAGAATATACAGGTGTCTAAAGAAGAGTAACAGGAAATAAAGTTGGAAAAGCAGGCAGAGGCTGAATTACAAAGAGCCTGCAATGTCTCCGTATACTGTCTTAATTCAGTATATTATAATTAGATTAAATTCAGCAAACCTGTTGAAAACCAACCTTGTACAAAACATGCTGTGAGAGATTTAAAGATGAAGACCCAATACTATAGTATAGAAAGTGGGACTTAAGAACAGAAATAACTAATATGGTTAATAGAGAAACAGAGTAAGAAAGCCTTTATGAAAGAGTTGATTGAAGAGTTAAGACCATTTTGACGGGCCAAGAGCATACACAGTACAGAACCACATTGCAAGGTATATTCGGGGATCAAGTGATTGAGCTTGGCTAGAGTGGAGAGATATGAGTAAAATGGGTTTTCACCTCTAGTATTTGTGATTTAAATTGTGTTCATACCATGTTAGTAGTGAAATTTCCCTCCTCAAAGCCTAGTTTGCCAGAGATCACCAGAATCAAAGACTGTAGTCTGACAGTGTCAGATTTATCAGATTGTTAATGTAATTTGCGTACATTGCGAAAGAACTTTGAGTAAAAGGCTTTATTTGCCTTTTGATTAGGCAGCCCCGTGGTATAGCTTACAACAACCAAATATCCTGCATAAATCCTTTAGCCAGTAACCACAACACGGGTGTGTTTGTGCTGTGGGGATGAAGCACTGCTAGTAGCCAAATGACATTTTCTCCTTTCCCTTTTTCCCTCTTCCCTCAAACTAGGCTCACTTATCTAAAGACTATGCGGAGGCTTGTTTCAGAGCTGTATGTTCGGGATAACTGCCACCCTTTCAAAGCCACTGTGTTGGTCTGGATTCAGCTTCCAATGTGGATATTTGTGTCTGTTGCTCTCCGGAATTTTAGCACAGGGGCAACACATTCAGAAGGTAGTTATTATTGAAGTCTGTTTCCCCCAAATAAGTTTTCTGACATTGTCTTTGTACTCTTTTTTTTTTTTTTTTTTTGCGGTACACGGGCCTTTCACCGTTGTGGTCTCTCCCATTGCGGAGCACAGGCTCCGGACGCGCAGGCTCAGTGGCCACGGCTCATGGGCCCAGCCACTCCGCGGCATGTGGGATCTTCCCGGACCGGGGCACGAACCCGTGTCCCTTGCATCGGCAGGCGGACTCTCAGCCACTGTGCCACCAGGGAAGCCCTGTCTTTGTACTCTTAAAAAAAAGAAAAAACCAAGCAAAAAATAAAAAACATGCATACTTCTCATAACTGAATACACTTTTATCATCTCCCTTACAAGGGTATAGAATTTAAAATATTAAGTGTAAAGCAAACTAGCTGTGTTGAGAAAACAAATCAATCTAGGAAGGACGTCACTAGTACTGCTTCTTGGAGGTCATGATAAAATTAGTGTTATAATTCCATAATACGGTTTCCTGGCCAAGAATTTTTTCTATTAATAAATTTAAGAAGCCAGAAAAGCTTTCACAGTTATAAGTGTAAACATTAATTAAGAAAGGTTATTAACTAAAGGGCTTGTTTTGTTGTTGTTGTTGTTGTTTTTTTGCGGTACGCGGGCCTCTCACTGTTGTGGCCTCTCCCGTTGCGGAGCACAGGCTCGGGACGCGCAGGCTCAGCGGCCATGGCTCATGGGCCTAGCTGCTCCGCGGCATATGGAATCTTCCCGGACCGGGGCACGAACCCGTGTCCCCTGCATCGGCAGGCAGACTCTCAACCACTGCACCACCAGGGAAGCCCAAGGCTTGTTTTTTACTTTCATCTAAAGGCATTTCTAACCAGAAAGTAATCTAAATAGACTTGAAAGAAAGTCTAATTTTTAAAATTTTTAAAATTTAAGTCTGGAAACATTACTGCTACATATCTTTATTGTCTCTACATCTATTTACTACAGAAAGCTTCTTGCCTCTTTCTCAGTACAGGAAGAACTAACTTATGTTGTGGAGTGAAAATAACCTGAATAAGAAGTGCAAATCTTTAGTGTGAGGAACACCTTATTGCAATTACTTCTCTTTGCTATTTTAGAAATTCTTTTGTTTTACTTATAAAAATGTTTCAGCAGGTTTTTCTATTCAGGAGCAGTTAGCTACTGGTGGGGTCCTATGGTTTCCTGACCTCACTGCCCTGGATTCCACTTGGATTCTGCCTGTCTCCATTGGTGTCATCAACTTATTAATAGTGGAGGTCAGTGGTTTTAAATGAGATTTGCTTGCCATTTAAATCATTGGGGTTTTTGTTGCTGTTCTGACCTCAAATGTAAACGTATTTGAGTTGGTGGTGATAGCTCTGAGCTAAAATTGAGACTCCTTAGTTTTGGTCGCTGATGTTGTTCATAAATTGTCCTAGGCCAGTTCCTTAACGTCTCTGGGGGTCAGAATGCTCATAATTAAAATAAGAGAGCTGAATTTGAACATTTCCAAAATGTCTTTTAGCTTTAAAATTATATGATTCTAATACATACAATTTTGTGATTTGCTTTTTGGTAAAGACAGCAATTAAGATGCCTAATGAATCTGGTTTTCTTCCCACAGTATATTGATGTTTTGTGTATATGTCAATTTGTAGGTGGTCAGTACCTGACTGCCATTTTTTAGTTACACAACCTTAGAAAAGTCATAGAACTTCTTTATAAGATGAAGTGGAGAAACATACATGTAAAATATGACCCCTATTCCATAAAGAACTGTTCTCAGACTCTGAGTAGAACATAGACTCTTTGAGCTAGAAGAAACTTTAGAAAAGACCTAACTCAGTTGAGATTTCACAGACCTCATATCCACTGCTCTCTGTTTGGGAAATCTAATACACCCCTTATTTTTTCAGACGAGAAAAGTGAGGATGATACTCTGAGGTCTTGCGTGAAGTTTTCCTGAGGAAAGACTCTATGTGTAGTCTAAGTGTGTTAGCCTGAGAGCATCTACCACAGTGCTGTTAACGTGGTTGGTAATTAGTGAATATTTCTTAGAAAGAAAGAATCGATAACACAGGGTCACAGTGAACAATGTCAGTCCTCTAGTCTTTCTTTTATTCCGTCTAAAGACCCAGCATGCATAAGTTTAATAAAAGCCTGTTGTTACTTAACATTCACCATGTGCCAGGCACTGTTATAAGCAACGTACATGAATTAACTCATTTAATCCTTAAAATAACCCTGTGATGTCAGTGCTACTATTATCCCCATTTTAAGGTGCAGAAGGTAAGGCACAGAAAGGTTGAGTAACTTGTGCAAGGTCACATAACCACTGAATGCAGGGCTGCCTTGTGAATCTAGGTAGTTTGAGTGTAGAATCTGTGCTCGTAATCATTAAGTTATGCTGCCTCTTAAATAAGTAATTCATAAACCATAACTGCCTTTCCTAGCCTTGGTTCTTTTCTGTACTCCACATAGCCAGATCACAAACCCTTGAGATACCTGTTAAGTTCCTTCTTTATGCCAGGTCCTGTGTTTAGGTGCTAAAAAACAAGGACAGTGATTCATACATAATACCTATCTTGAAGGGACTTCAGTTTTACAGACAATCTTTAAAAAACATTGACTTGTAAAAATTATGCTGTGCTACTGTTTAGTATAGATGAATCTCTTTATTGCTGTTATTTAAAGTTCCATTTAAGAATTTTACATAAATTTATCAGTTTTATTTTAAATTTTTAATGCTTTTCTTAAAATATAGGTAGAGGCCAGTCAAAAATCAGTTTGTATTTTAAAGCTTGTCTCATTTAATGTGCATTTCAATAATCAGCATATGTTATATATTCTACCCCTTCAGATTTTTGCTCTGCAAAAAATTGGAATGTCTCGTTTCCAGACATATATTACGTACTTTGTTCGTGCACTATCAGTGTTGATGATTCCAGTTGCAGCAACAGTACCTTCAGTGAGTAAGCACCAGTATTGCGTGAAGCATGTGCTAAATATAAATCTTCTGTTTCTAGCTTAGTCTGGCTGGGATTCTACCTCTGCTATTGAGCTTCCTCTGACTACTCAATCCCTTACTGGTTTCTGGGTTTCTGTTGGAACGAATCTACTGTCTCTATCACCAAGTGACATCTGAATATTTCTTGGGGGATTAGTTAATCTTCCTTTACGTGAATGTGTCTTAACCCTCCTATTAAACCAAACTCCTTTTCCTCTTTTTTTTTTCTTTAGTTTTTTCTTTTTTTTTTTTTTTAATCTTGCAAAGTACCTGACACAGTACTATGAACATAGTATTTGCTCTGTTTGATTAACTGATATATTGAATTCCTTCTGTCTTCATAGACTGGTCCAAGGAGTTTTTGCACTGAAAAAAGAAACAGAACTTTGTGCTAGGTTTGTATAGGTTCATATGTAATATTGTTTAATCTCATAACAGTTTTATGAGATATATATACTTGTCCCTATTTATATGTAATTAAACTTTTATAGAAATAGAAAAAGAAATGTTATGTTTGCAGTTATTTCATATTTTTAGCATTTTGCTTCCATGGATACTTTAGTGCTAAGATGGGTAAAGCTATGTCAGCTATAGAGCTGTCTTAGCTCTGAGCCAACACATAGACCATAAAGTAGTAGTCATTTGTTGCTGGTAGTTAGAGTTATATCATTTATATAAAAGTACTTTATATAGGATTTGTCTTAGGAATCTGAAATAGTATGTTTTCATCATAAAAAATGTGAATGAAATGTTTGTTTTTTTTAAGACACATTTATTCAGCATCATGATCAGACTATTACATTTAGCAATCAGTAGCATGGGTGCAAAAAAAAAAAAGTCACAGTGAAAACCTTTGTTGGAATGCTTTACACTTTCCACAGAACAGAAACTGAAATAACCTGTTATACACTTAGTCACAAATACAGTCCTCGAGTTTTTTTGCCCATATACATGAGTATTGTCTAAAACATGTCTTCTTTGTAGGCCCTGCTACCACTGTGCTTGGCTGAGTTCACAAATCTGTTGTACCTTGTAGCTTCCCTGTCACTTCTCTGGCTCTCCTCTCCTGCTAAGCTTTGTTTCCTGGCAGTAATTAAAACCTTCTGCCACTGCCATAGCTCCTGCTGCTGCTGGAACCACCATAGCCACCTTGGTTTTATCGTTTGACGAAGTATTGGCCTCCACCACCATAGAGGCGAGAACTTTTGCCTCCAAAGTTTCCTCCTTTCATCAGTCCAGAATTTGAAGATTGACTGTTGTAAATGCCAAAATCATTGTAGCTTCCGCCACCTCTGAAATTGCTTCCGTCATTACCAAATCCATTATAGCCATCCCCACTGCCACCATAGCCACCACCACTGTGGCTGCCACCAAAGGCATCTCGACCACTGAAGTTTCCTCCACCACGAAAGTTGTCATTCCCACCAAAACCACCGCCACGACCACCACCAAAGTTTCTAGAACCACTTCGACCTCTTTGGCTGGATGAAGCACTAGCCATCTCTTGCTGAGATAGGGCTTTCCTTACTTCACAGTTGTGGCCATTCACAGTGTGGTGTTTCTGAATGACAGTCTTGTCTGTGGGGTCATGGTCACCAAAGGTTACGAAAAGCAAAGTCTCTTTTGTTGCCGCTGCCTTGGTTAGTCATGGTTTCAGTCACTTCAGTTTTCCCATACTGTTAGAATAATCTCTTAGGTGATGTTCTTCAGTGTCTTCTTTAATGCCACCAGCAAAAATCTTTTTCACAGTTAAGTGGGCACCAGGTCTTTGAGAATCTTCTCTGGAGACGGCCCTCTTTGGTTCCCCAACTCTCCCATCCACCTTGTGTGGCCTTGCCTTCATGGCCACATCCACCTCCTCCACAGTGGCATACGTGATAAACCCGAAGCCTCTGGAGCGCTTGGTGTTTGGATCCCTCGTTACCACACAGTCTGTGAGCGTTCCCCTTTGCTAAAAATGGCTCCCCAGACTCTAGTCGGTTGTTTCAAAGCTCAAACCTCCGATGAAGAGCTTCTGCAGATGTTCGGGCTCTTTGGGAAACTCTGACTTACACATGATGGCAGTAGATGGGGGAGACTTCAGCGACGCTTACTTGGCAGTGTCCATGGGCTCAATTAAATGTTAAATGTTTTTAAGCTGTCACTTAGACATAGTACCATCATTAATCCTGTGTAAAATAAGTTTCCTTGTTTCTAAAATAGACACCATAATGTCTGTGAGAATTAATGAAATGACAAGTGTCTATTATAGTACTTTTCATGTAATAATAATATTATTATAAAATACTCTGTAAAAACAGAACAATACAAATTCACTACATTTCTAAGGAGAAATAATACCAGCTATAACTGAGGAAACCCCCAGATCAAGTAAAATAGGAGCAGTAAAGTTGTAGTGAGAGGTTGGATTCAAAGTGAGTAACAGAGATCTGAAAAACAGTGTCTTTTTTTTTTTAAGCTTTTTTTTTTTTTTTTTTTTTTTTTTTTTTGTCTGTGTTGGGTTTTTTTTGCTGGGGGGAGGCTTTTTTTTACTTATTTATTTTTGTCTGTGTTGGGTCTTTGTTGCTGTGGGCAGGCTTTCTCTAGTTGCAGTGAGCGGGGGCTACTCTTCGTTGCGATGTGCAGACTTCTCATTGTGACTGCAGTGGCTTCTCTTGTGGAGCATGGGCTGTAGGCATGTGGGCTCAGTAGTTGTGGCTCGCGGGCTTAGTTGCTTCCCAGCATGTGGGATCTTCCTGGACCAGGGCACTGGCAGGTAGATTCTTAACCACTGCGCCACCAGTGAAGCCCTGAAAAACAGTGTCTTAAGTACCCAAAAATTCATTCTCTCAAATACAGGAAATTCTGAATTAGGTAATTCAGTGTAGAGCTGATGTAGCGTCCCTGTGAAGACTTGAGAAAGGCAGCCTGCTTCTCTCTCAGTGCTGCATCATCCACAGCCTGTAATGGTCTTGAAGGCCACAGGATAGTACGATGGCCACTGGAGCTTGTTACCTTGCGAGAATAGTAAAAAGGTTCCTCAAGCACGGTCAGCCCCTTTCAGGACCCTGGCCAGGTGCCCCACCAAACACTGAGCTTCCATCTTAAATATGTGGCTGTACCTAACTGCAGAAGAGGTTGGGAAGGATAGTCTTCTTTTTCTTTTCTTTAGATGGCAGTATACCCTGCTGAAAATTAGTATTTTTTTTTTTATTAAGGAAGAAGAATGTTACTTAGTAGGCAGTTTTTAGTCTGACGTAGTTGAGGCTCAGGATACTGTTCACTTCGTGGATAAGTTTGATGATGATGGTAGTTAATATTTATTCAGCATTAACATTGTACCAGGCCCTTCTTAAAATCATTTACATATATTAGTATACATATTTCTCCCAACAATGCACTGTAGTAGGAGCTATTATAATCTCCACTTTACTGCTGAGGAAACAGGCACAGAGAGGTTAAGTAACTCATCAAGGTTACTCATCTTTTAAGTGGCAGAGTCTGACACACATCCAGGCAGTTTGGCTCTTACTCTTAACTACTGTGCTAACCTGCCTTTAAGGATGTATTGCTTACTGCCCTTAAAAACTTGCTCTGGAACAAATGCAAGTGCTTAATATGGGTGACATACTGTGCTTACCACTCTACCTAAATTTTCTCATTTTTTCCTCACAGCATCTCTTTGAGGTGGGTACAGTTCTGTCCCCATTTTATAGAAGAGAAAACTGAAACAAGAAAAATAATGTACCCAAAGTTAGATAAATAGATTTCAAACTCAGGCAGTTTGACTCCGGGACCTGGATTCAACCACCACATGGTCTTGCCTCTGGGGACTGATAACCTTCTGATGCCAAAGAAAGGTTTGGGAAAGATGTATGTATGGGAATGTTTTGAGAGGCCGCAGAACTTAGTCTTTGACCTAAATAGTCAATCTGAATGGTAGTAAAAAAGAAAGTTGAAGATAATGCTGAGACTCTTTGTCTCAGGAAAAGGCAAAGATAATGCAGTCCTGACTACACTTAGAAACTGGTTGGTGGGAAAAATTTGGAAGATAGGTGACTGTATATAGGTCTAGGGGGGCTAAGTTTGCCATGATAAATGGCTGTGCCCCCAGTAGCGTACCTTCAATGTAGCAGCCTGTCAAGACTTGGTGGGGAAAAAGTATGCTTAACTGCCAGAGATGGAGGTGAGATCTCTCTTGGACCTCTGCTTGGGAGCTGTTCTCTGTCATCCACTTTCTGTCATGAATACCTCTCCTTTTTATTTCTTTTCACTTTTGAGTCTTCCTTTCACTTTTGAGTCTTCACTTTTGAGCTGTTCTCTGTCATCCACTTTCTGTCATGAATACCTGTCCTTTTTGTTTCTTTTCACTTTTGAGTCTTCCTTTTCACTTTTGAGTCTTTCCTTTTCACTTTTGAGTTACTTTTCACTTTTGAGTCTTCCTTCCTTCCTTTTCACTTTTGAGTCTTCACTTTTGAGTCTTTTCACTTTTGAGTCTACCTATCTGATCTGTCACAGGTATCTAATAGCTACTGAAAGTCTTGGTCAGTCCTGGTGTACTTACATTTACAGAGATGGTAATTTTTTTTTTATTGCCTACCTTGGTGTCCTTGGAGAATGGAGAGATGCTAACTTTCATGTCCTTTCTTCTCTTTACAGTCGATTGTTCTCTACTGGTTATGTTCCAGCCTCATGGGCCTTTCACAGAACTTGCTGCTGCGTTCTCCTAGATTTCGCCAACTTTGTCGAATACCGTTGACCAAGTCAGATTCAGACACTCCTTATAAAGACCTCTTTGCTGCCTTTTACACCAAGTTCATTTCAAGAAAATGACATACTTTCTAGTAATTTTGAACCAATTACAAGTTTCACTGTTAATGTATTTAGAAGATTTAGAAATTCAGATATGGTTTAATTTGCTTTTTAAAATCACGAGCTGTGAAGTACTGTGGATTAAGATGTAATCCAGATATATTTGACAGCACTTAGAATCTTTTAAGTGCTAAAAATGTAGTATGTTCAGTTATATAAAAGTGGGATCAAAGTGTCGGGCCCTGTTTATAAAATTACAACTTGCGAGAGGTGCTAGAACTTTGGAGAACAGGACTAGAGAAGTTTTATAAAATAAAGGAATCCAGTGAAGTGATTCTTAAAATGTTGGGGGTGTGGAGGATCATAGACCCGTTTGATCATTTAATAAAGCCATGGTTTTCTCTTCAGAAAAGTCCTGGACCTCACAATATGGAGGCCTTTATTGACCGCCCCCCCCTTCTGGTAATTCCTGGTTAATAAGTATTATCCATTGATGATGAGTTAATGTGTGATTTTAAAATGAAAAGGACTTGGAATACATGCAGTGGAGTAGTCCACGCATGTAAGAAAGTACCTAATAGGGTAGGTGGTGTTGCTTCTCAACCTTGCTCTGAAGGAATACAAAAATTGTACATTTCCTTTCTCTATAATTTAAGAAGTCTGGAATACAGAGCATAGAACTAAGTACTGCTAGAGCCCAAAGTAGAAAATCTGAAGCTAATCATATAGAATATGAAGGAACCCAATATCTCTGATAATCCTTTAAGAAAGTGAAAAACTGGTACTAGGGTCAAGGTTATGCTAATTGGGAGACTCCTTTAGACCTGTACACCTTGCTATGATAATGCATAACATTAAATTGGTCTGAGGATCTTATATATTACAAAATTCATAATTTCATAGCTTGGAAAAAAGGATCAAAGTAAATTTTAAAAGCTCAAAAGATCAGGGTAGTATTTAGCAAGTTTTAAAAATAATGACTGAATACATGAAGATACATTAGTTACACTATTACTAGAAATTAAATAGTAGGTGAAGAATCAGCTCATTCAGCCAGAGAGCATGCATATGAACATTGTGTATTCAGTCATTAGAGAATGTAGGTCGATCATATAATTGTGAAATAAGCTTGTTGTGCAGAATTCTGGAGACAGAGCTGTTTGAGTCTTTCCTGTCATCTCAAAGTACAGTAGACCCTTCTGTCTCCTAGCCCCAAAGCCACAACCATTAAGAGCTTCAAACTGTCAGCAGCTAGAATCCCAACAAACAGCTGAACCAGACTTCATTAGATAAGGACTAACATAGCCACAGAGAGGGAATGATTCTGTGACTCTTGAACATATTAACTTGACTGTAGTCGTTTGTGGAATACAGTTTCAAAGTGAAAGGGACTATTAGAAAACTTTGAACTTTATTTGGTAATTGTATTGCTCTTGTTAATATTGCATTGCTGTTTTGGAACTCTTATTGTCAGGTAAAATACATAATGATGTTTACTGGTATATTTGTTTTCTGTGGATGCTGTTAAAATCTTTATGCTGCTTATGCACCAGGAGGAAGATGCTATTGAATGTATTTGATATTATAAGATATATCTCTTTCAAATTTTTCTTTTAATAGATAGATTTAGGGATTGCCCCTGAGGTCCTACAAAAGAGGGTCCTCCCCATAGTTCTCCACCGGTATACTCAGAAAGCCTAGCCTTCATATCTGTTTCACCTAAGACCTTCCACAATCTCAGTTAAGAACTGATGAAATAAAATTCATGTTTTACGGCAAGATGAGGAAAGTTTAAACATAACTTTTTTCTTTGTCCCTTTGGGCCTCCTCCCCCCGCTTTAGCAGGTATTGTGCATCTGCATTAACCAGAGCTCTTTAGGAGATGACATTCCTTAATCTCATTAAGGGACACTGACTCTTGGGCGATAACCTTCCTTCTTGTAAGGGACCATGATGCCTCATGACCCACTATTTGCTTTGTACCTGTAGGTCTGGATTGTGTAAACTGTTAATAATACGTCGTATGACATAAACCCTTTGTCTCAAAAACGTACATAACTGTGCTTTGACCCCTAATTGGCAGAACAGTCCCCAGAGCTTTCTGAAAGTCTACCTCTCAGATTATAATCCTCAAATTGGCTTGAAACTTTTGCATTTTTTTCTTAAACTGTTGATGAATTTTTCTGTTGGCAGGGCTGTACATAAAAGCACTTTGATACTGGTTGATTCCTGTCCATAGGAACCACAAGGCCTGGCAGTTACCACAAGAAAAAGAAAAAAACACCAGCTGAGGAATGGCAGTAGAAGAGATTAAACCAAGAAAGCACTTTTACACAGAAGCCTTGCCTAGTTCTTAGAGCAGTAACTTTTGCTTTGCTGTAACTTGAACATGAGAGAGATCTGACACAACTGTCCCAAAGGAATATGTAACAAGAGAACCCTGTTCCCTTGTATTCTCACTGACTACCTTCTTGACTGCCCAGTTTTTACGTAAGTTTTGCAAGATAGTCTTACCTTTAATTGCCTAGGCCTACACTGCTGATTTTCTTCTGTAAAATGAGGATTTCTGGGTGTTTGAGAACAAAAACCTTGATGGAAAGACCTTAAAATCAAAATAAATGCTTTAAGAAAGCAGCCCGGCTTCCCTGGTGGCGCAGTGGTTAAGAATCCGCCTGCCAGTGCAGGGGGACACGGGTTTGAGCCCTGGTCCGGGAAGATCCCACATGCTGTGGAGCAACTAAGCCTGTGCGCCACAACTTAGGGCCCGTGAGCCACTACTACTGAAGCCCGCATGCCTAGAGCCCGTGCTCCACAACAAGAGAAGCCACCGCAATGAGAATCCTGTGCACCGCAACGAACAGTAGCTTCTGCTCAACGCAGCTAGCGAAAGCCCATGCGCAGCAACGAAGATCCAGTGCAGCCAAAAATAAATATAAATAAATAATTAATTTTTTTAAAAAAGCAGCCACTGTTAATGAGTTTTTCTGTCTAAGGCAACAAAAAAGAAATTTCTATCCTTGAAAGTTTCTGCTAGACTCCAGAGGGCCAAGAATTTCTTGAAAAAGAAGTCTCTGGGGAAAATGCACCATTTCTATCTTTTCTATTTTGAGAAAATTTTACGGTCATGCTCCTCTTCCTTTGTGTCCCTGATATGGCAGTTATATTTGCTTTTCCTTAGTTGAGAAGGCAGCATTGTATTTAATTTAGCTTTGGTTTTTGTCTTCTGGCTAAATTGTAGCTCTCTGGGAAAACTTAAAACTGGAATATGCAATATACCTAACTATATCCCTTTCATTGCAGCTGCATTTCTGCATGTTCCAACGGTAGTACAATTGATAATTTGAGGAATTTCTTCTAATTATAACCTCAGACTTCCTGGCTTTTCTGTGAGTGATGGATGCTTCTGAGGGTAAGGAGTATTAAAAATACGAATTCTGTATCTGAGAATTAACAGCTTCTTATTCCATGTTATTCATAATGTGTCCGATGTGTTGCTATAGGTAGGAAACTCTCCTTTTGTGGTTTCCTTATAGAAGCTTCAGTTGTGCTTATATGAGTTTTCAAATACAGATGTTTCATTTTGGGATGCAAGTGAAAACCAGAAATTCCCATTTAAAATTACAGTCACAACCAAGTAGAGATTTTAAAATGAAATATCTTCTTCCTTTAACTCTCACCTATCTACATCATAATGTGTTACTGTACTTTAAAATACAGTTGATCCTCATTCACAGTTTCATATTTGTGAATTCACCTACTCACTAAAATTTATTTGTAAAACGCTCGTGATATATATTTTTTTTTTTTTGCAGTACGTGGGCCTCTCACCGCTGTGGCCTCTCCTGTTGCAGAGCACAGGCTCTGGACGCGCAGGCTCAGCGGCGATGGCTCACGGGCCCAGCCGCTCCGCGGCGTGCAGGATCCTCCCGGACCGGGGCACGAACCTGTGCCCCCTGCATCGGCAGGTGGACTCCCAACCACTGCGCCACCAGGGAAGCCCGCTTGTGATATTTTTGCTGTTAGTAGCAGACATGTGGCTGCACGCTCAGAGCAGCAAAAAATTTGAGACCAGTGCACACAGTCCCAGCAGCAGTCAGATCAAGTGACACTGCGTTTTGTTTCAGCTCTCATACTGTAAACGTGTCCTTCTTGTCTATTTAGTGCCATGTTTTTCTCATTTTTACACTTTTTGGTGATGATTTCTCTGTTTAAGATGGCCCCCGAGCACTAAGTACAAGAAGACTGTGATGTCCTCACAGAGAAAATATGTGTTAGGTAAGCCTTTTTCCAGTGTGAGTTACAGTGCTACTGGCCATGAGTTCAGTGTTAATGAATCAACAATATATATTAAATAAGATGTCTTTAAACAGAAACACACATAGGACGTGATTATGTCTTGATTGGTTGATGAAATTGGTTGTTGTGACCAAAGGCTTGAAGGAGCCTAACTCTGAATTTCCTCTAGGAGTGATGGGTGGCTTTATAGAACAAAACTACCGTGAATAATGAGAATTTAATGTATTTCAGCCTATGCCACACAGTTTTATAGTCATATGGTGGTTTAAATCAGGCATCCTTAAATTGAGTACCCATGGGCCACAAATCTAGCTCACTGCCCTTTTTTGTACAGCCTGAAAGCCAAGAGTAGTTTTTACATTCTTAAATGATTAAAAAAGAATGAAAAGATAATATTTTGTGACACATAAAATTATGTGAAGTTCACTTTTCAGTGTTTTACTGGTGCACAGCCATGTTTGTTTATGTATTGTCTGTGACTTTCATGCTTCAACTGCAGAGCTGAGTGGTTGTGACAGAGATTTTATCTCACAGTGCTTCATACTCTGCTCAGCACACAGATCTTAGTGATGCAGTTATAACTCCACAGCATTTCATGTGTACTGCCCTACTGCGACATTTTATTTTTTATTACCAGTTCATATCCAGTCAAAATAAGAAAAGTGGGTTTTATATGTCATACTTTTAAAGCACAGTAGAGTATGGATTATCTTGTTATTGAATTAGATGGCAAAACATTGTGTTTATTATGCAGTGATACTAT